GCTCTCGGAAGACATGGCAGTGTGGGGTGGCCAACCTCCAGGTGGAGCCTGGAGCTTTCCTGGAGTTGCAATTGATCTCCGGACCTCAGAGATCAGTTCCCCTGGAGAAAGGGTCTGCTTTGGAGGGAGGACTCCAAGGCGTTATAGACCTCTGAGGCCCCTCAGAGGGCAAAGGTGGTGTGGAGTTGTTTTCTGTCACCCCAGAAGGTCGGACCAGAACCGACGGGTTGAAATGAAATCAGAAGAGTTTTTGGCTCAACATGAGGAAGAACTTCCTGACAGTTAGACCAGTTCCTCAGTGGAACAGGCTTCCTTGGGAGGTGGTGGGCTCTCCTTCTCTGGAGATTTTCAAGCGGAGGCTAGGTGGTTCCTCAGTGGAACAGGCTTCCTCGGGAGGTGGGGGCGCTCCTTCTTTGGAGGTTTTCAAGCAGAGGCTCGATGGCCATCTGACAGCAATGCCGATTGTGTGAACTCGGGCAGATCACGAGAGGGAGGGCAGGAAGGGTTGCATCCGTGCTTAGCTTTGGCGAGTAGATAAAATGGGTACCACTCCTTAGAAAGGGTGGGCACACCAAAGACCCCCCCCGGTGGGGGAGGTGTTAGCTGACAACTGGAATGCTCAGCTCGCGAGATTGAAAGCCTAAAGAAAAAAAATCTCTTTGACTCTGAGAAGCCTGTAATGGGCCGTTCCGGCCAGGCGGTGGCAGTGTGGCGCTGCAAGACCTGGAGAAGCTGACGTCATCTAGCCGAGCCGAAGTGAATATGCCGACGGAATACGTCTGACCCTGCAGCTGAGCAAACCCTCGCTGACTGTGGATGTGTGTGATTTAAAAAGATATATGTTGTTCTCCCTTACCCCATAAATCATTGTTAGTCCCGCGTGAATGAGTAACTGTAAATCGCTCAGAGCCAGTAAGCTCTGCAGGATTGAGCGATTAATAAATTGAAAGATGATGATGATGATTATTGTTGTTGTTGTTGTTGTTATTATTATTATTAGTTCTTGTGGCCCTTTCTTACACAGCCCAGGATCGACACTTTGGGGTCAGGAAGCGTTTTTCTCCAGACCAGTTTGGCCGGGGAACCTGGAGGTTTCTTGTCATCTTCTGGGCGTGGAGCAGGGGGTCACTGGGGGTGAGTGGGGGGGGGGAAGGTATTTGAAAATTTCCTGAATTGTGCGGGGGGTTGAACTAGATGACCCTGGAGGTCCCTTCCAGCTCTATGATTCTAGGATCCTAAGTGGTGTCCAGGGGATAGAAACCGCTGGAAACCTTACTCAGCTCCCATAAGTGGTTATTCACCATGGTTGCCAACTCCAGTGGAAAATTCCTGGAGATTTGGGGGTGGAGCCTGGGGAGAATGCAGTCTGGGGAGGGAAAGGACCTCAGGGGGCTATGAGGCTATAGAGTCCACCCTTCAAAGCAGCCATTTGCTCTGGGAGGACTAATCTCTGCCATCTGGAGAGCAGCTGTAACTCCGGGAGCCCTCCAGGATACACCTGAAGGTTGACAACCCTGCCACCACTGTGGTTTCTCTCAGCTCTTTCAGTCCTCTTTGAACCCTTTGAAGAAGGGCAGTGGGCACAGTCACACACCAATACAGGAAGCTGCCTTCTATTGAATCAGACCAGTGAGGGTCCATCTGGTTCGGCATCCTGCCTCACACAGTGGCCAACCGGTTCCTCTGGAGGGCCAACAATGGGGCAGAGAGGCTGAGGCCTTCATAAGAACATCAGAAGAGCCCTGCTGGATCAGACCAGTGAGCGTCCATCTAGTCTAGCCTCCTGTCTCACACAGGGGCCCCAACCAGTTCCTCTGGAGGGCCAACAACAGGGCACAGAGGCCGAGGCCTTCATAAGAACCTCAGAAGAGCCCTGCTGGATCAGACCAGTGATCGTCCATCTAGTCCAGCCTCCTGTCTCACACAGGGGCCCCAACCAGTTCCTCTGGAGGGCCAACAACAGGGCACAGAGGCCGAGGCCTTCATAAGAACATCAGAAGAGCCCTGCTGGATCAGACCAGTGGTCCATCTCGTCCAGCCTCCTGTCTCAGAGTGGCCAACCAGTTCCTCTGGAGAGCCAACAACAGGGCAGAGAGACCGAGACCTTCATAAGAACATCAGGAGAGCCCTGCTGGATCAGACCAGTGAGGGTCCATCTAGTCCAGCCTCCTGTCTCACACTGTGGTAGGGCTGCCAAATGCCCCCGGGGGGCGGAATTCCCCCCGCTTTCAAGCCCCGATTCCCGCTCCCGCGGAATCGGGGCCCGAGGGAAACCCCACCCCCGCGTGCGCGCCACCCGGAAGTGACGTTCTGTCATTCAGAGGGTCTCCCTATCCACTGGCTGCTTAGCCTGAGTCCTGCCTCCAACATTCTAAACAGTTTTGTAGTGTATGCTGACCACCACCGGGGGCCAGTGAACAGCCAGAGCTTGGCTCTGGAAGAACAATAGGGACTAGGCTCCTAGTCCCTCCACTGGGGAACCAATGGGACCCATGGCGGGAGATTCAAACCCACCAACGGTGACCAGGGGTGTGTCCCCAGGTATGTATATAGTTGGCCTGCCGGCCGTTTGTTCCTTGTTCTTGTTGTGTACCAAATAAAGCGTGCCATGCACCACGTCGTTGTCGGTCGTTTATCCATGCGGCAACCCACTACATAACACCTACACAGTGGCCAACTGGTTCCTCTGGAGGGCCAACAACAGGGCAAGTAGGCCAAAGCCTTCCCCTGATAAGAACATCAGAAGAGGACTGCTGGATCAGACCAGTGAGGGTCCCTCTAGTCCAGCATCCTGTCTCACATAGTGGCCAGCCAGCCTAGGCCTTCCCCTGGTGTTGCCTCCTGATGTTGCCTCCTGTCTCTGGGATTCAGAGGATTAGTGCTTCTGAAAATGGAGGTTCTCCTCAGTCACCATGGCTAGTAGCCATTGATAGGCTTATCCTCCATGAATCTATCTAATCCCCTCTTAAAGCTGTTGATTCCTGTGGCCATCACAACTTCCTCTGGCAGCAAACTCCACATTTTAATCACTATCTGTGTAAAGTAGTATTTCCTTTTATCCGTCCTGAACCTACTGCCCGTCAGCTTCACTGGATGCCCTCGAGTTCTAGTAGTCAGGACATAAGAGGAGCTGCCTTATGCAGAGTAAGACCCGCGGTCTCTCGAGGTCACTATGGTCACACATGAACACAGGCAGCTGCCTTATACTGAATCCGAACCTTGGTCCATCAAAGTCAGTCTTGTCCACTCAGACTGGCAGCAGCTCTCCAGGGGCTCAGGCGGAGGTCTTTCACATCACCTCCTACCCGATTCTTTTCGCTGGAGACGCCGGGGATTGAACCCGGGATCTTCTGAAATGCTGAGCAGATGCTCTGCCACTGAGCCACAGCCCCTAAGCACAAAAATTGTTCCCACGGGAGGCAGAGCCAACCGCAGTGGCAGGGAAAACGTATGAACTGGCCCCTCCCCTTTATCCAAGGCCTGGCTAAAATTAGGGTTGCCAATCTCCAGCTGGAGCCTGGAGGTCCCCTGGAATCACAACTGATCTCCCGACCACAGAGTGCAGTTCTCCTGGAGAAAAATAGCAGCTCTGGAGGGTGACTCTGTCACAGTGCTGGGGTCCCCCCCTCCCTCAACCTCCCCTCCCCAAGCGCCACCCCCAAACCTCCAGGAATTTCCCAACCTGGAGATGGCAACCAATGTTCCCTCTAAGCTGTGGCGTCTTGTGAGCAAAAATTCTACTGTGTGAGCTCCTGGCATTGAAGTTGTGAGCAAGCAATTTGGCTGCTGCATCAATTAGTCTGCTCTGGAGCCATCCCTTCCTGAGCGGAGACAAAAAATGTGTGAGCCGGAGGCTAAAAAACTGTGAGCTAGCTCACACTCACTCAGCTTAGAGGGAACACCGATGGCAACCCAATGCCCGGGTTTCCCCCTTTTTTTTTTTAGCGGGCATTGCCTGGGAGAAGGTGACCTTGAGTTGGTGTAGATGGAGCATTCGGCAATTTGCACCAACAAACTCAAGGATCTGTCTCATGGCGATATACCGATGAAGCATCACCCTGCCAACCAAAGTCCGCATGGTCAAAGAGATGGTATTCCCAGTAGTCATGTATGGCTGCAAGAGCTGGACTATAAGGAAGGCCGAGCGCCGAAGAATAGATTCTTCTGAACTATGGTGCTGGAGAAGACTCTTGAAAAGTCCCTTGGACTGCAAGAAGATCAAATCAGTCAATCCTAAAAGAAATCAACCCTGACTGTTCCCTGGAAGGCCAGATAATGAAACTGAAGCTCAAATACTTTGGCCACCCAATGAGAAGGGAGCACTCACTGGAGAAGACCCTGATGCTGGGAAAGATTGAAGGTCAAAGAAGACGGGGACGGCAAAGGATGAGATGGTTATCGATGCATAAGAACATAAGAGATGCCAATGTTGGATCAGGCCAAAGGCCCATCCAGTCCAACACTCTGTATCCCACAGTGGCAAGAAATACCAGGTGCCATCAGGAGGTCCACCAGTGGGGCCAGGACATTAGAAGCCCTCCCACTGTTGACCCCCCCCAAGCACCAAGAATACAGAGCATCACTTGCCCCAGAGTCCCTATCTATACCTTGTGGCTAATAGCCACTGATGGACCTCTGCTCCATATGCTTATCTAATTCCCTGTTGAAGCCGTCCATGCTTGTTGCCGCCACCACCTCCTGTGGCAGTGAATTCCAAGTGTTAATCACTCTTTGGGTGAAGAAGTACTTCCTCTTATCCATTCTAACCCGACCGTTCAGCAATTTCATGCAACGAACATGAAGTTCAGCAAACTCCGGAGGACGACAGAGGTCAGGAGGGCCTGGTGTGATGTGGTCCATGGGGTCGCGAAGAGTCGGAGTCAACTGTGCGACTGAACAGCAACATGAGCTAGTGTTACAAATGTAAGGCATACAGCCTGCACCCCCAGAAAAGCCCCCCGGGCTGTTAGAGAACCCAAACGCCCTCCGGTCCCCCCTACCTTTCTCGCTTTCTTCGCTTCGTATTCCATGTCCTGTCCCTGCTCCGCTCCTGTCCCCAGGAAGGCGGCTTTTCCTCTACTCGGCCCACCCTTTGTTTCCTCATCCTGTGCTGGAAACTCCACCAGCCCCTAGCCAAGCTGCCAAGTTCCTGCCCTGCCGGGGACTGATAAGCAGATGGAGCCGCCCCACCGAGGCAAGGAAGAAAGGCCTGCCTGGGGCAGTGTGGGGGTATGAGTGGGGTCTGTGTTTTGGAGAAGGGGGGTCTCCACTAGGACTCCGGTCAGGGCTGGTAAGTGCCGAGTGTTGGAGTGAGCGAGTCAGGATGCCTGGAGATTGGGGGGGACGCTATATCACGTTAAGGCTGCGGTCACAAACACTGTGTCTGTTTGGTGTCCGGACTCTAATCTGGGAGAACCGGATTTGATTCCTCCACTTGCACCTGGCTGGATGACCTTGGGCAAGCCAGAGTTCTGTCAGAGCTGTTATTGAAAAAGAGCGGCTTCTATCAGAGCTCTCTCAGCCCCGCCTACCTCACAGGGTGTCTGCTGTGGGGAGGGGAAGGGAAAGGAGTTTGTAAGCCGCTCTGAGACTCCAAGTGAAGGGTGGGGTATAAATCCAGTCTCCTCTTCTCTCAAGAGCAATTCTTGAGAGCCCCGCCTACCTCACAGGGTGTCTGTTGTGGGGAGGGGAAGGGAAAGGAGATTGTCAGCCGCTCTGAGACTCCTTCGGGTAGTGAAGGGCGGGGTATAAATCCAGTCTCCTCTTCTCTCAAGAGCAATTCTTGAGAGCCCCGCCTACCTCACAGGGTGTTTTTGTGGGGATGGGAAGGGAAAGGAGATTGTAAGCCGCTCTGAGACTCCTTCGGGTAGTGAAGGGCGGGGTATAAACAGGGCCGGCCCCAGTCTATTTTGCACCCTAGGCGGGGATCCCTTCTGGCGCCCCCCTCCCCGTGCGCCCACCAATTTTCAAAAATAAATGCATTTTAGGAAGAATGAAAAACACAAATAATCAAGAAACTCCCAGAGTACGGGGCTGGGTGCAGTTTGGCAGCCCTAAGGGCCGGCCCGCTCTAGGCAATCGCCTAGTTTGCCTAGTGAGTGAGCCGGCCCTGGGTATAAATCCAATTTCCTCCTTTTCCTCCTCCTCCTCGTCTTCTTCTTCTTCACTAAATAATCCACATTCAATCCACTTTCAGTGCACTTTCAAACTGGATTTTGCCAGTTCGCACAGTAAAATCCAGTTGGAAAGGGCACTGGAAGTGGGTTGAAAGTGGATTACTTAGTGTGTGTGAGCGAAGCCTTAGTGTTGCATAGCTGTTATCTCCTTGAATGGGATGCCTCCCTTTGTCCTAACCTGGAAGCTGCCCGCTGACCCCTCCTCGCCCTTTGTCCTCTCCCCCTCTCTTCACATGGCCTTCCACGGAGACAGACGTCTCTGCAGGTCTCTCCTATAGAGACAATGCCCTCATATTCCCGCACATATGATGCCGGACAGAGTTCATTCTGAGTGTGTTCTACTTTCTAGCTTCTAAAAGCAGGCTCTATTACTTCTCATTATAGAATATTGATGACGAAGTCCCCAAATTTCCCAATTAATATCTCCATAACACACGCACGTAGCACGGGGGGGGGGGGTATACAGGCATCCCTTCCTGGACCCCCACTGCCAGGAAGCGGGTCGAAACCAAGCCCCTGTGGCAAAGCCCTGTGGTACTGCAAGGCCAGGATGGAACTGGTGATTTTAGGATTCCACTGGAAATCAGTGTTCCTGTAGCATCTTCCCTGTTTCTCAAAACAGAACACCAGCCAGACCGCTCCCTCTCGCTTCCCGGAATCTCTTGTCATTCTACCCCATCAGATCTGGTCGCCAACTCCTCCTTGGGAAACTCCTGGAGATTTGGCCACTTTCTCTTACTTCAGAGGCTTCGGGGGGTTATGCGAATGAAGAGAAGAAGAGATTGGATTCATACCCCGACCTTCACTCAGAGTCTCAGAGCAGCTTACAAACTCCTTCCCCTCCCCACAACAGACACCCTGGGAGGTAAGCGGGGCTGAGAGAGCTCTCTTGAGAACTGCCCTTGAGAGCACAGCTCTGACAGAACTATGGCTTGCCCAAGGTCATCCAGCAGCTGCAAGTAGAGGAGTGGGGAGTTCTGCCCCTCCTTTTAAAAGTACTGGCCTGAGGGGTTCTTCTTATCCATATCCATGGGGTGCAGTTTTGTGCGGTTTGGTTGCAGGAAACGTCGGAGGCAGAGAGTGAGGATCAAATGGAACCCTCATCTGTCAACTTAGCAGCCTGGCAAAAGTATGGGAATCTGCCTGCTCGTAGGGTTGCCAGCCTCCAGGTGGGGCCTGGAGGTCTGCTTTTACCTCTGGTCTCCAGGTGACAGAGATCACCCTTGGAGAAAATGGCCGCTCTGAAGGGTGGACTCTCTGGCCTTGGACCATGCCGAGGCCCCTCCCCTCCCCAAGCCCCTCCCTCTCCCGGATCCACCCCCAAAGTCTCCAGGTATTTCCGAACCTAGACCTGGCAACCCCTTCACTGTATTCCGTGTGGATCCCTTCCCAGAAGCAGGGTGCTGTTGACACTCTATTGAGGGACAGCTGGCAAGACTCCTTTATGTGAGAACTGGACTCCCTCGTCACTCTGCCGCCATGCCTTTCAGCCAGGGCAACGTCCGGACCACTGAGCTTGATTTACAGCCAACTGTCAGGAACTTTTTTGCGCAAGCAGGGCTTTCTTTGTAGAAAAAGCCCAGCAGGAACTCATTAGCATAATCGGCCACACCCAAGAGCAGAAACTCATTAGCATATTAGGCCCCACCCCTGACAGCACAGCTCATTAGCACATTAGGCCGCACCCCCGTGTTACCAGAAGTGTGGTCATCCAGCCACACCCACCTTTTGCTTGTTATTCTGTTTACCTTGTTTGTTGTCAAAACCCAGGGCCTTTTTTTGTAGCAGGAACTCCTTTGCATGTTAGGCCACACACCCCTAATGTAGCCAATCCTGATGAGTGTCTGCAGTTGGGTGTGGCCTATTATGCTAACAAGTTCCTGCTGGGCGTGGCCAACTCGGGAGCCAGCCAGAACTCCGTTCCTGTGCGTTCCTGCCCAAAAATAGCCCTGGGCGCAAGCAATCCCACTGCGGTAAGAAAGGGTGCTTCTTTGTCATTCGTAATAATCTCCACACTGTCAGAGCTGTTTACCGAGCTTTTTCCAAGCTCGAAAAGTTTCTTTTCATTCTTTGGTAGAGGGTTTTTTGGGGGGGAAGACAAACGTGTGAAATTAAAGAAAGTTCTCAGGACAAACATATCTTCTGCCAGTAGATGGCAATGCAGGGTTGCTTTTTAAAAACCATCTGCCTAAAGCCAGGGTGTCGAACTCATTTGTTATGAGGGCCGGATCTGACAGAAATGAGACCTTGTTGAGCCAGGCCACATGTGTCATAAAAAGTGATGCCAGGGAGCGGAGATATAAACTTTATAAAGGACACAAACACAAAAGGTTTTTTTAACTTAAAATAAAAACATGTTTAAAACACTAGCACTCTTGCAATATTTTATTTAACAGTGTCTGATAATGGACACCTCTTGCTCTGAATTATTGCGTCAAAATGCCTGTGCTGTTGCAATCCTGAGTATGCTGTTCAGGTGTGTATCTGTAATCGGCAAACCTACGATGACGCAGCAGCAGCAGAACTGGAAGAAGAAGCAGAAGACAGCCGGTTCCACTGCGGGCCTGATAGCAGCCCTCCGGGGGCCTGATCCGCCCCCCGGGCCACATGTTTGACACCCTGGCCTAAAGGGTGAATTTGCACTGAGCATAGTGGCCCTCCACACTGCTTCCATGTTTCTCCAACTGTGCCAGATCAGGCAATTAGTCCCCTTCCTGTCTCGCCCTGACCTAGCCACAGTCATCCATGCAATGGTCCCATCCAGGTTAGACTACTGTAACTCGCTCTCCACAGGACTACCTTGGAGACTGACCTGGAATTACAACTTGTCCAAAATGCAGCAGCCTGGGTCATTACCGGCACCCCACTGACAGCGCATATTCAACCGGTGCTCTGCCAGCTGCACTGATTCCAGGTTGAATACCAGACCCGGTCCAAGGTTTTGGTGCTAGCCTTTAAGGCCCTAAATGGTCTGGAACCAATGTATCTACGGGATCACCTCTCTTGGTATACCCCCCAAAGAGCACTGCACTCTGGGGAGAAGAACCTCTTGGTGTAGAAAGCCAGTTTGGTGTAGTGGTTAGGAGCGCAGACTCTAATCTGGGAGAACTGGGTTTGATTCCCCACTCCTCCATATGCAGCCAGCTGGGTGACCTCACAGGGTGCCTGTGGTGGGGAAGGAAGGGAAAGGAGTTTGTAAGCTGCTCTGAAACTCCAAGTGAAAGGCAGGGTATAAATCCAATTTCCTCTTCTCTTCTTCTTCTTCATCCCAGGGGTCTTGTTGTAGAAAAAGAGCTGCCGGAGCTCATTAGCATAACTCATTAGCATAACTTATTTGCATATGCTACGCCCCCTGACATCACCGGAAGTGACAGAAAGCCACACCCCCTGACATCACCGGAAGTGTGTCAGAAGGCCCGGCTACTTACCCTCCTGCTTCATCCTCATTCCCAAACGGAATGAGGATCGAAGCAGAGGGCGGGGTAAAGAAGGGGGCGGGGCTTCACCACGTGACCGCCCCACCCCCTAGAGGTTCTCTTCCGGAGCTCTGTACCTGAGAGCTCCCCCCCGACTAGAGCCCTGCTTCATCCAATCTCCTCCTCCTCTTGGTGTACATGCACACAAAAGCTTTTACCCAGAATTAAGCTTTGTTGGTCTTAAAGGTTGGTGTAGTGGTTAAGAGCGCAGACTCTTATCTGGGAGAACTGGGTTTGATTCCCCACTTCTCCACATGCAGCTGCTGGGGTGACCTTGGGTCAGTCACAAGTTCTTCCAGAGCTGTTCTCTCAGGAGGAGTCCTTGAGAGAGCTCTCTCTCAGCCCCACCTCCCTCACAAGGTGCCTGTGGTGGGGAGG